AAACAATGTCAAAGTTATATATCATTCTGGGTTTATACTAAATATCATTTCATAAATAACAATAATTAATACCAACACCAATAGCTATACGAACTGCCAGCAAACTAGTAGACTTTATTATGAATGCGTAGTATATACATATATACGTGTATGCTACATATATAAATATAAATATGCACTTATGTATATCTTATATGACGCTGTAACGTTCTCTTTTACAAAATTAATATTCAAAGCTAATGAATATTGTTACAGTATTCCCTTCTGTAAGGGCGAACTGGACACCCACAAAGTACCTCACTGGGTTAAAAATGTCAGAATGGGCCGTTAGAAAAAAATTTATAAATATAAAATTACGTGGCAACTTAACGCAAACAACCTACACTCTTTATAAGCCAATCAGTGGTGATAACATTTATACACATTTTCATGAAAATCTGCATATTACTTTCAACTATGTATTGATTGGTAAAGCTCAACCAAAAATTGTTAGATACAAATCTTTTTTAACTATCATTATTAAAATAAATTATCTTAAATTGTTTCTTTAATATATTTGACTTTAATAAATTATAAAAAGTTTCTTTTTTTAACTTTATTTTTAAATTATAATTAATTATATATATTGACTTTATTTTATTTTATTTTCTATTGTTGCTTGTTTCGCTTTTTAATATTTTTTTTTTTTAATTTTTTTCATTTACTTTAATTTGATTAGTTTTTTTTTGTTTTACAAAACTTGGTTTAATGCATTGTATCTGATCTGATTTTATTAAATATAATTTAATTTAATTATACATATTTTATTTTATAAATTATTATTTATTATATTTTTTATTTTATTATTATCTTTGACCTTATTCTATTTTAAAACTATTTTTTTATCTTTGTTATTTTTATTCGATTTTATTTTGTTTTATTTTATTTAATATTCTGTGTTATTTCGCTAATTATTATTTTGTTTCCTTCATTCTTATAATTTTATTTTATTTAACTTAACTTAGTTTTATTTTATTATATCGGATCTTATATTATTAAATATAATTTTATTTAATTATAATTATTTTGTTTTATTTAATTATTTTTTGTAACCGCTAAAACGATTTTCGGGCGATCTCCTCCTCCAATTTGTATTTTTGCGTGTCGATGTTTTTTCCAACTAATGAAGGGACCTACAGTTCATACTAAGTCGCCACCCAACGGCTGATGGGCGATCGCTATTAGAAAATTTAAATTTATTTTGTATTTAAATTAAATTTCTATAAGTTTTTGGATGTTAATACGAAACTAGAATTTAAACGCGAGCCTTGCCGCACCGCGGTTAATGTCTTATCGTTTTTAATTTAATACATTTTAATTATTTTGTTTAAAGTTATTAATTTTTTTTCATTTATTATGTTATTATTGCGAAAAAGTGCTTACAGATATATTATTCAAAGTATTTTCCTTCGCTAGCGACAACTTTCTCCCATCTTTCCGGCAATTTTCGGATCCCGGCTCGAAAAAAGGAGCCCCATTTTGACGCTATCCATGAATCAATCCATTTTTCCAATTCTTCGAAGGATTGAAAATGTTGATCTGCCAGGCCGCGTGCCATCGAACGGAATAGGTGGAAGTCAGAAGGGGCGACATCTGGGGAATACGGCGGGTGGGGTAAGATTTCCCATTTCAGCGTTTCCAGGTACTTTTTTACCACTTTTGCGAAGTGAGGCCGAGCATTGTCGCGTTGGAGGATGACTTTGTCATGTCGCTCTTGATATTGTGGACGCTTTTTTTTTTAGCGCGCGACTAAGACGCATCAGTTGCGTTCGGTAGCGATCTCCTGTGATGGTTTCACCCGGTTTAAAGAGCTCGAAGTAAATCACACCGAGCTGAGCCCACCAAATACAAATCATAACCTTGTTTGTCTTCGACATCGAAATCACCATTTTTAAAACGTTGAAACCACTCACGACACGTTCTTTCACTCAGAGCAGCATCACCGTAAGTTTCTGAGAGCATTCGATGCGCTTCAGCTGCATTTTTTTCGAATTGTAACAGAAAAGTAAAACTTCCCGCAAATGGCGGGAATTAGGCACATAAACCGACATTTTCGAGCGTGAATAATACGAAAACAAGAAAAACTGTCACTGAAACGGCGATGACAATTTGTTAGGCACTGCCCACACTCACTTTAAAGGCATTATCATCTATGTATAATATTTCAACCAGCCTCAGCCGGTGCAGCCACCTATCGGAAAACGGCGGAAGCAAAGTTGTACAACTGGTAATTTAATTTTTTTAATCAATTTAATTTAGTACAATTTTATTTTACTTTAAATTATTTAATTTTATTTTGCTAGATTTATTATATATTTTAATTATTTAATTTTATTTAGGTATTGTATATTGTATATTATATATTGTGTCTTATGTGAATTTAGCTTATTTAATTTTACGTTAGCTTAATTTTTTTTTAAATTTATTTTGTATCAATATAATTGGGTTGAGATTTATGCAGCATATTTTTATAGACAAATATGTATAATGTACTTGCAAATATTGAAAATATTGCAAATCTGTCAGTGCGTTCCAATTATTTGCACTTTTCTTGCTGAAAGCTTGAAGCAAACAAAATAGAATAAAATATACCGCCAATAAGACGGCAAGACACTCGTAAGTTTTCGAGTTCGATGCGAATTAATTAGTTATGAAAATTGATAGAAAACGTCATACACACATTTTTAAAATTTATGTTTTTGCATTTGTTGTGTCCACAAATAGCAAAACGAATAGGGAGGAAATCAAAAATATGGCAAGCATCTGCAGTGTGAAAAATAATATCATAATTTACTATTTATGTACGAATTCATGTGTATTTATATATGTTAAAGATAATACATTTTTTCTTAATTGCTTTCCTTGATTTTCCTTTTTTAATTTTTTCTTAAAATTTTAAATTTTTTTATTTACTAATTTGTTTTAATTATGTCGAGTATTTTGCTGTCTTCACAGTATAAGTATATATTAATATTTGTATATAATATATCTGTAGATTTTTTGATTATTTGTCAATTTGTGCCGCCTACGCATTCCCACCGACGTGTCGCTCAAAGAGACGCGACGAAGAAAAGCAAAATAAATGAAAAAAATGAAGCTGGACATGCTAAACGATTTGCGTTCTTTATGATGTTATATATGTCTTTAGTAAATATTTGAATGTTTCTGTCAATGTGAGAATAACATGTTGAACATATGGAAAACTCTATATGCAAATGTATATGCATATATTATATATCTGCGAAGGTGTTTTTGCTTTGAGGGGTGTGCACTGTTTGAAATTTCTTTATTCATTTTATTTTTAAAATATTTTAATAGTTTCTTTTTAATATATGCAGTTAACTCATTTATATATGCACCTAAAGCTTTTTTGATATATTGTATAGTTTCATAAAATTACATATGTATATATGCATAGCATTTGTGGTATAATTTCAATATTAATAACGTACTGTGTGCAGAGTTTATATTATTTTTTCCTTTATATTAAATTTTCTAAATTTGTTTTCCAAATTCTTAATGATGCTCCTGCCCACTTCTTCCAAATTCAATTTTGTTTGTAAAATGAGTCTTTATGTTTTATTTGTTTTGATAGAAAAACATGTCTCGTTCCCCACATACATAGTTTTTCTATTTATAAACTCAATTTTGTTAAAATTAGAAATATTCAATCTTTCATTTGCCTATTTATTTGTATATTTATTTTCGGCTTTTCGTTGAAAAAATATCAAATTGTGTACGTGACAATATTAAACCCAAAATTGACATTTATAATATTTTGCTTTAGAATTACAATTGGGATATTAACAATATTATATCCATTCGAATCTTTTTCGCTGAACAGATAAAGGATAAAATAATAATTTTTTTATTTTTCTTTGTGATCAGCGACAGTTTAAGTATTTTAATGCTCAATTTTAATAAAAATTATTCAAAAGTATAGTTGAACAAATTAAATAAAAGGATAATTGAGGAACAAAAAAAAATACAAAAGCAATTTTTTTTGAGATTACTAATCATAATCTTCTTAATCATTCTTATATTTCACACTCTAAACTCATACTAAATGTTTTCTAAAATAATACAGGACACGCTTAATCAGAATATCAAATTTCGATAAATTCCACTGCAGGCTGTAATAATCAGTATCCTTATTAAGAAATACGCTGCATAGCTCGATGCCGCTTCTCACATATCGCATTAATCTATAGATTTATTGAAAGAACACTTCGGTGCCAATTGGTCACCAAGATCGTGTGATATCATCCCTTTGGGGGATAAGTAAAGTCCAAAGTCTATACGGACAATCTTGCTTCAAAAAGGGCCTTAGAACACAGTCTAAATGCTGCTAAACGAGTCATCGAAAATTGGACTCAATGGATGGACTTTCTGATACATGGCAACATTTGAAAGGGATAACTGAAGAAAATGCCTAAGAAAGCCCTTTCGAATGATAACAAAGATTTTCTATTAAAGTTAAATTTTCTGTATGCTTTTCTTAAAAGAAAGTAGGGAGCCTGGAAATGGATCATCTTTTAAATATAGTCAAAAAAAATTTTAGAACTATTTTTTATGTAACAATTTTAAAGCCCAAATTTTTCTTGTAGCTCCAACACTGAATCATAGACCAAAGCAAAATAAAATTTTTTTATTTCATTTGCAATATTTTTCTGATTTATTTAAAAACATTTGTTATAATCAAAATTATCAATTATTTACACACCGGTAGATATCGAAGATATATATTTCAGAATTTTTTTTGTTCAATTTCACTTATCAGTTCCCTCAGAAATTCGTTTTCTGTCACTTAACTCAATAATTGGCACTTAAGCCGGACAGTTCTCATGCACATATGTAGGTATCTATTGCTTTGCCGAAGAAAATGTTTAAAAATAAAACAAAGAAAGACAAATTTAAATACAAAAACAAGGAATAAACACAATTTTCATTCCATATCATACCACTTGACTTGGTGAAGTGCGAGGTCACATCTTTCCGGTACAAGCAATTAGTATACAAAAACACAACTCAAGTAAAAAACATTGACAATTTGTATGTATATGTATGTATATACACGCCAGATGTTGCTGCAAACTGATCACAACAAACACTCTATGTAAATATGTATGCATAAATAGCACACTGTTGAACTACACAAAATCACTTTCTGTCTATTTTGGGAATTCATACTTAAGCAATCTTCAAATTTTCCAATAACAATTTTTTTTCTTATAAGTTAAATTTTTTTATATTTTTATTATAGCTTTTTTTTTGATTTTGGCACACAAAATTTCCACTTTCTCTAAGTACACACTTTTACTTGAACCACCAAAATGGACGAATTGCTGTGATTTTTAATTTTTACGTTTTCACAATGCGCGCTGCGATTTTCGAATGAATTAAAAACGGTTGGGCGTGATTTTGATGCTGCGCGCGCCAACGCTTCCCGAACGCGAATGTCCACAAAAGACCAACAACAGAATATTGCTGCTGAGAGTTTTCACTTGTGACATTGCGCCTCTTTGGAAATATTCTATGTATATAGATATGTATTTTTGTAGGTGTACGTGTAGATGTATGTATGTCTGCACTGCAAGTGACAGCGAGAAAACCGCGCGATATCGAGATCAGGATCGTTGTATACCGCTTCGAGGGGGCCGTGTGACATGTTGATCGACTTCGGCGAAGTTTTGATCGACCCTCAGTGGGTTGTATTACTTCTGTTGTTGTTGCACTTGATGGCGTGCTTTTGGTGTCGGTGTCGCTGTCGGTTGGAATGGCAAATAAAAAATACAAAAACAACAAAAACGCTATGAAATGCAGTTGCTATTCACTTGTCAGTTGTGCTGTCAAGCTCGGCGACTCGAAATTTCCAGCCCCGCGAGTAGGCAGAAGACGAAAATAAAATTTGTCTGTACTTTTCCAGCGCATCTTTCCTTGTTTACTACTTCAATAAAAATAATACTTTTCTTTTGAATTTTTGAGCATAAATTAATAAATAGTATTTTTTATTGTTGTTTTCGTTTTTTATTTTGCGAAAAAATTACCTCGAGTAAACAAATTTTGACGACCTGTAGGTAAGTAGCCACGACGAGCTCAGCCGCGCAGACAGCAGCAGCACTAATCACAATAATAGACGACGACATTTTGATATCATTCAACGCCTTCGCTCTCGGCCCCAACGCCTTCGCTGCTCCCATGCTTAGCGTTTATTGTGTGTCGTCGTATAAGTTAATCAACAATAAGTGGCGCGCCCCCAACGCTCAGCGCTTGGCGATGAAATTTCTTTTCGTATTTTGATCAAAATTTCCTTTTGTTGTTGTTAATGTTTTTTTTTTTTTGGTTTTATTATATTTGTAATATTTTTTTTTTTTTTTTCTTCTTATGAGAGCCTCAATATGTCGTCCGTCACCGGCGCTGGAGGTCGGTTGCCGAAGGTGGCGTCTATTCTGCTCGCAATTGTCACTCAGTCGATGCTTTGATTCGCTATTTTTTTCCGGCTTTTTTTTACCGCCTATACGTTCTATAGAGCATCGTTTATAGCTGTCGCCATCGGCGATGCGTTAATGATTGAATCAACAATAACAACAACAACAGACAAAATAATAACAAGTTGCTTGCTATACTACTGCATCTGGCGGCTAACAGCGGAAGATCACGCGCGTCGGCTCTCATAATTTTCTTCTTCTTCTTCTTTTTCTACCTCTTCATCTTTTTCCTTTTCTTCTAGGTGCAAGCGCGTTCGCCGAAAGCACATCGCTTTGCAATTGGACTCTGCTCCTATATATTGTTGGCTGCTCAGCTGTATTGAAATTCGCCTTTTTGCTTTTGTTGTTAAATACGAAAACGTTTTATAGCTCTCACGATGCTGCTGCATTAGTATAGCGGTGACAGATATCAAACAGCGGAATTTAATTAAATTATGTACAATTCAAGCGTCAACATAAAAAATCTGAAAATAAACTAAATAAAAAAAGAAGGAAAACATTTTAAATTTGTTGCGGTGTATGTGCGTGGTACCGCAATAAATCAGCACAAGACAATTTGGAAATAACGTGCGAGATTGACTTGGTATTAAAGTATTTTCAGATTAGACTTTCCTTATAAAAAAGATTAATTGCATATGTTTTTAAATTAATTTTATAAATAAATATATGAATAAATTCAAAAATAGACGCTCATTCATACTTCTATTCTTCATTCACCAAAGTTTTTAATCGACACTCAATTAGATTTTAAAACTGAAGAATGCCGAACGTAACGAAGAAGAGACGAACTGATGATGCTGACGAGAGTGCCACCATCGACTGTATAGGTGCTTACAGCGCCGGTGGGTACACTTAAAGTACCGACAAAGAACCGCAACAGTACAGAGCGTGCATAGCAAGGGACGAAATGCAGAAGCACTACCTTTGTGGGCTCTGAGCCTTCAATCGATTAAAATGTCACACCTCTTACAATGCCCCAAACTATAGCATTACAAATATGTAAAAGTATGGGTGAACCACTGAAGTCGTTTTCGGCCAATTTCCTCCTTCAATTTTTGGTGTGCGTCTTACCCAAACAAATGGATGGAGGGACCTATAGTTTATTCTAAATCGCCTCTAAACGGTCGACGGATTTTTATGACGAGCTTTTATTTCATGCCAGAAATACTCTCAGGAAGCAATGTAGCACAGTTCATTAAATCAAACGGCTTGTTCTATAAACTTCTACTGAGATAATGAGAGCAGTACTCTTGGCTTGCTCAAAAGCTTAAGTAAGGGCATTTGCGATCAGAACTTTAACCATTCTCTGTTCACCAATCAACCTACCAATCAATAGAGTTCTAAATTTAGCCTTTAGAGGACGAGGACGAGGTGGTTAATCAAAACCACTTTTTTCACTACTTGTTCTAGTCTGGAAGAAATGTATATTTTTATATCACCAAAATGAATACAATCGGTTTCTTAGTTTGCTGGAACTTGTCTTTGATCATTAGCAGTAACTTTGGTATATAGTTAGCTTGTCTAAAATCCCTTCCGGCCCGGTTACAATAGCTTGCACTGCGTCACAGATCTTCGTTTCTGAAATCGGGTAGAGTACGCAAAAGTGGAGCGAGTGTTAGTGTCGTCGATTGGGAGTTCCGGCTTGCTACCTTAGGTCATTTATTTTCGATCGCAGCTAAGACGGCTTGAAAATTGATAGGTGGGCAAGTTCTTTAAGTTCTGAGATCTGATAGCTTAAATCTTTATTTGCTATCCTAGACATTTATGGATGACTTCTCTTTTTATATATAAGTATAACTTCCCAAGGACCTGTCATTGTTTTATTTTAGTCAGCCACTTATTATGGTTGCTTGTTCGTAGCTACGAGTCATCCGAGCAGCTGCGATAGTAGTCTTCTGAGAATAAGTACTTTGTAACCAATATTTATTATAGATGAAACAGTTCGCCATTTAGGCTAATCGAACGAGTTTAACTGGTATACAGACAGTTCGAGGATCTCTTTCGGGTCATATAATTGGCGTCTTTTAACCACTAAAGCGACTTGCGAGCTCTTCTTCCTATTTGTGGTGCACGACCTGATGTTTCTCCAACATATTAAGGGACGTACAGTTTATTCTAAGGCGTCTCCGTACGGCCCATGGCTCTTTATGAGGAGCTTTATTTGATGTCAGAAATACACTACGAGGGGTTTACATAGCTTTCCGAGAGAGGGCCGCAATTAAATGTGTAAGCAACAACTTTAACTTGCTCATGAGCCTTTTGTCTCTTTTCAGAAGCCTGCTTATTGTAAAGGTGAAGGGTGGAGAAATAAGTTTTCCCGGTTCTGCTGAGGAAGAAACTATTGTAAAATCAAATGCAAATAAACAAAATCACTTAAGTTAATTTATACTAGCTTTAGTTGTTAGTGCACACATATTGCTATTGTTGCTTCATTATCAAATAATATGAACGTCCTCTTCATTTATATTTAAATAGAAAGGGGTTCTATCGAAACAGTTGTTTCCGAAAATTCCCGGAGCCAACACATGGCTTTGGAATTTGGGTAACTCGCCACCTACGAGATCATTTTATTCGTCACAACACTGATATCTCTGTATAACTATAGAGAGAGTAGAACCTTGCCTTATTGGAGATCAAGGCTATCCACTAGAGACGCGGCTTCTAACACCGCCTAAACATTCTAAATCCTCTATAAAACTAAAATACAGCAAACTACATGCTTCTGCTAGTATATAGTATTTACGTGAAGGTGAAAGAACGAAGATCTCTATAGTAATTAAATAATCAAAGTGTAGAGATCTTCAGATTTGACTTTCCAAATATACTACTTAGTTGTATTACATAAACGAATGTAAACAATTTATTTTTCCTTTTTTCTAAAAGAATTACTGTTGGCAAAAACAGCTGATTTTTTGTTTACATTTCATTGTTCACCACACGTGTGGGGAAAGCACAACAAACTGAAGCTTTATGTTTACTCAATATTGACACAGAATAACAAATAAACTCTTGCTTGACAAAAATCTTGATAAATTGTTAACATTTTGTTAATTTGTCAAGTGCACAGGGCTGTTAGTGTGTGATCGACAGATTTACCTTCAGGCTCTCTTCAGGTCGGTTACCAAAGGCGATGTGGGGAAATATCTATTGACGTACATATATAGGCGTCGAGAATCCTCACCAAGATTTTATATTTAAAGTATGTAGGTAAGGCTGATGGGAAGTATTTCCCCGAGTCGTTCGGCACCAAACGAGGTTTTAGACAGGCAGATATCGTGTGATTTCTTCATAACTGAATAGAGAAGGTACAATCTTTTACAAGAGTGTGCAACTACTGAGGTATACCGATGATATTGATATAAAAGAAGGGAAGCGAATGGATCTGGTACTGAATAACAACAAAATGAAATGTCTTCTGCCATCAAACAAAAAATCATCACATTCGCGGTTTTTGATCCCACGTCATTGTTGACAGTCATAACTTCGAGGTTGTAGATAATATCGTCAGAATCAACACCGATGGCGATGTCGCACTTGGAATTCAGCGCAGAATCAATCTTGCCAACAAGTGCTACCACAGACTGAGTCGCTCATCATATCCGTCTTACTGTAAAGGGCAGAGGCGTGGACGAAGTCAACAACCGATGAGTCGAGAGAAAAGTTTTGCGAATGTAACTGGTTCAGTACGCTTTTGGATTGAAAATCAATTTTGTTTTAGCTCATGCTCATGTGATACAGACTCTTCAATATTGCACAGCAAAAGAGATAAGTTTTCTGTGGAAAGCTTTAGTTTTGGGAAAAAGAAGCTATTTAATAAATGAGATTTGAAGAATTCAGATTAGTTTAATACACTGCGGCGGCCTCTTATATTACACATATTAGTTTCAACATTAATTGAATATGCACTGGTAGCCAGCATAGAGATAATTGGCAATACTAAGCACATTCAGAGATCGGGTGGTCATTACAATAACACGATGTAAGTAGGAAAGATGT